TGCAATTCCAATAGAATCTTACAACATCAAGTAGAATCAAGTAAATATCTGGCGGTGTATACTCCATTAGGAGTTGTTCCCAACTTTAATGCTCATTACTTGTCATAATAACAATATATACTATATATATAGTATATATATAAATTGTCAATGTCATATATTATTTGGGGTTTATGTTATTTCAGGTTAGGGTTAGGGGTTAGCGTTAAGGATTGATCAATCATTATTAATCATTAATCATAATCATTTTTAACTTCAATAATATATCAAAGTTGGGACACTCCTAATGGTAGTGTTAGGCCTGAATAATGCACCAGCATTCTATCGAGATATAGAATTCGGGCCGAGATTTTATGATAGTATTGATGTAGAACGTCTATGGCTTATTAATATTTTCGAGTAATCACACGAAGCGTGAAGTCGCGATCGACGAAAGAACCGATATTTCTGACATTTTAGTGAAGTCATATTATACTCATTGCCCGTGTGAAGCAAAGCTTGAAGCTCAAGCGAAGCCAGATCAGGCTGAACCTGAACAGCAGCGTTTCCATATAGCGCCCGTGAGCAGACAGAGACAGAGGATTATCGATAGAAACTAAAACACCTCATGACGAACTTCGGCGGTATGTTCATGAAGGTACGGAAGCGTTAGTGATGTCATCGCGCGGCTACGCCTGCCGCAGTACTCGCTGACCAGGTGGCAGCTGACGCCGACACACGTAAACACACTGTATAAAGAAACAATATATAGTATTGTTTGCTAGTCAGTGCGTCAAAGTGTATCTCCAATAGGGCAATGGCTTCGAACAGAAGCACCAGCCAGATGGGTGCCAGCCAATTTACACCGCAATTTCTCACAGTGCATTGATTGCGATTCTATTTTTGCCATTTTGATTTCCCAGCCATTGCACGTTCAATCGTATATCACTCGGCTTAATTGATCATTGCGGATATGTTGTCTTTAAGTTGTGCGGTACTACAGGTCCCGCCGAGGTTGTTATACTACATCGGTCACATTACATCAATATAATGATCACGTTTTATTGTGAATACCTTCATGGGAAAAACTGAACTGGTGGCGTGCTGTCCGACTTTATCACTTTCGTAGCAGATCGAGCCATTGTTAGCCTCATGCAACAAAATGGTGTTACTATACTAACTATATATATATTAATATATACTTATTACTATGATTGATATTATATGTAGATAATTTATACTCTATATTATAGATAGTATAATTTATAATTACTATTAGTATTATATATATTATATTATATTATATTATATTATATTATGGCGTGTCCCCACGTTTCAATTATGTTGTCTTGTTTATGTTGTGCTTAAACATAGAAGAAAATCAGCTAGATGATTTTAAAACGCGAGAACATTTAATTGGCAATTTCTGCGCACAGTTTCAATAATCAGAATATTTTGTTAAAAATTTGATAAAAATGGTTTTATTGTGCATCTATGTAAATAAATAACGGACCAGAATGTAAACGCTCTCGCGTTTTAAAATATCACTAATAACGATGTTGAACATTTTAAGCTACGAAGGTTTGTTGTTTATCAGCAATGCTATTTTTTCAACGAAGATTGGCAAGAATGTGATTATTGTTGCCACCGTAGCAACATGGCGACCATGATACAAACCGCACGACAGTTCTTCGATCAAACAATTTTTAATTGCGTATCCGCATGCAATGTTGGTCTGCAATTGGTGCGCAAAAGTTTGTTAGTAATGCGCGCAATTAGTGCACATTTATAGATCGGTCCATTCTAGGACCAAGTAAAACTAGACTTGTGTTGACCATACTGTTGGTTTATCTCAAACCTTCAGAGCCCTAATGGCTTTTGTTCGCAGGTAATCAAAACTAGATAACTATATCGTATCGTGCGCGTCTGAAATTATGTCTCTTTATATTACGCGCTTTTGCAGTTTTGCGACGCATGCATTTAGCACACACGGACGAAGAATGTCATTCAGGCATGCGTGCTCAAGCTTTCGTAGTTTTCTTTGCAGCGGCAAAGTATTGTCTTGTATTGACGTTTGTTACGTCGTCCCTTCATACGGCGCGGCGACGGCTTTCTGGCACGTGTATGTAACTTCAGAGAGCATCCATCAAGATGACAGTGCAATAAACAACTGCTACTATGCGTAGTCTGCCGTGGCGACGCCCAGACGCCGTAGAGATGATATATATTATATAATATAGAGACACACACGAACGCGTGCACACGCACGCACGCACACACGCACCCACACACGCACGGACGCGCGCGCGCACACATGCACACACGCGCGGATACACACGTACACACGCACGCACACACGCACACATACGCACGCGCGCACACACTCACGCACGCACGCACACACGCACGCACGCACGCACGCACGAACGCACGCACGCACGCATGCACGCACGAACGAACGCACGCACGCACGCACACATACGCACGCGCGCACATACGTACGCACACACACGCACGCACGCACGAACGCACGCGCGCACGCATGCGCAGTATATACATAGGCCTCACAATGAAATGTGACAACTCACCTTTTCACATTCTACGTTCACACAGCAGAAATTGCGCGCCACCGCTACGTTGTGCATTGTGATATACGCCGGTGACCATGATCGTGTGCGAACACGGATACATGCGGCAATTTGTTGTCTCTGCATTTATTATAGAGATTATAGATTATTATTAGAGTCCCACGAACGCCAATAACATAATACACTTCTGTATAGGGCACATATGTGCACAGGCACTTGTAACGTTACAATAGTAAAATGATGGTTAATAAACACGTAATTTACTACCAAAGTCTTAATGTTTCTCTGCGCTCTTTCGCCTATTCTTGCCGATAATTTTCTGTAAATGCTGTTCAAATGCTCTTCTGCACCACACACAAGTACACCGCACGCACGCCGCTGTGGCCGCGCACAAACAATAAAATTACAGAGTTGTTGCTTATAAAAGTTAGAGTTGTTGTTCAAGCCTAGAGTTGTTGTTTATATAGAATTATTAGAGGCGTACGTTGATCTACAATGTCGTTGTTTGTTCACAGCAGCGTGAGAGTATAAAGTTCTTTCGAACATAAATACTAGGGTGATAATTGGACTTAGGCGTAGGGACGATATTCCTACACACACGCGATTTCACTTTCTCATGTATCTCACTGCGACGCGTTGACAACCTTTTATATCTTTTGTTAGGATGTAGTTGTTGTATGAAGTAGCGAGCGCGACACAATGTCACGGTAAAAATATTTCGACGAGACCGGGCGCATGCCCCACCACCAAAAAAGCATGTCCAAAACGATGCAATCTTCTGCATTCTATCAATAGCTAATAAATAATATAATATACAAAATAAAATAAAAATAAAAATAATATAATATTTATTAGCTCTTCATTCTATAGATAACATTACACAAAGATTGTACAGAAATTGTACAATGTTATAGATTTGCGCATTTGCGAGTAAAATCAGCAGACGTAGGTAGCTTCTCAAATCAGTAAACTAGCAATCGAATCGGTGGAGGTGCCAGGTAAGTGTTACCAGGGGCCGGTTTCACGAAGCGTGATTAACTTTAATTATGATTAAATCACTAATCATGATTAACTTCCCGTAATTATGATTAGTTAATCATACTTAAAAATCTGTTTCACGAAGCGATTTAAGTACATATTTAACTAATCACATAATTAGCCGACTTAAACATGAATTACACTGTATCCAAAATGGCGGACAACGCCAAAAGTATCTGCAAATTCGGTACATGAAAATGAATTAATTTGCAATTATAATGAC